CACTGCTGCCTGTGCTAGTATTATATCTATCTGAATACCAGAAAAATCCAATCAATAAAGCTATCATTCAAATCTATGCAACAGTCATTCAAGCTAGTCCCGGGAAAATTGAAGAATTCTATCACCAGCTTCAGTCTGAATTGATCAAACATGTAATCAAGATGCATTGTTAGTTATTGATCACTGCAATGCAAAAATTAGAAACAATGGAAGAAAACGTAGTTGGAAAATATCATCTTGGTGATACAAATGGGTTTGGAGATCACGTGATAGCATTTTTCAAGAAAAGCAACTTGCCATAGCAATTACTTTTTTCAACAACACAAATGGTGGCTACACATAGGCTTCTCCATATGGAATACAAAGAAATCAAATTGACTTCATCTGTGTGAAGGGATGATGGAGAAGCTCAAGGTTAGTATTTCAAAACAGGCCAGGGGATGGCTGTGCAACTGACCAACAATTGCTTATATTGTTCAGGCTAAGCTGGAGAAAATTACAAGTCTATCAGAGCCAAATTTCTCCAATGAATGTTGAGAACATATCAAGAACACATTTGATACAGTGAGCACTGGACAGAAGATCTGATAAACTGTGGGAAGACCACAAGTTCATCATTCATCAGGACAGCAAATCGTCATTAAAAATACAGGAAAGCAAGAAGGGATCAAAATGATGTCAGAAGAGACTGTGAACCATGTTTTTAATTTGTGAGTAGCTAAGGCAAAAGGAAGAAATGATGAATTCTAAGAGCTGAATAACATTTTTCATAGGGCACCTCCAGAAAACAAAGTAAAATATTGTAATGAAATATAAAAAGACTTTGAGTTAGAAAATCAAAAAAGAAGAGAATACTAGGTGTGAGAGGTTTATTGTGCCAACCTGGCTAATAGGAACATGTGGGATCAATCCGGTCACAGTTTGATTGGAGGACAAAGAGATCAATGGCTCTGCAAGGTCCGCCCCCTCTCTCTTGCTCTCTGGTGAGCCAACTGGCATGCTGCTGCTTTAGTTATTTCTCTTCCTCAAACTGTGTGTTACACCACCTGTGGGCCCAGCCAACTTATGGGCCACTGACACCTCTAGTACCATTGGGTCAGCTGGATCATATGGTCCTAGTGGCAAAGCAGCTTGTACGGCAGCCTGAACCTGTTGAAGAGACTTTTCTGGTTCTGGGCCCCACTCAAAATTGGAGGCTTTTTGTGTCACTTGATAAATAGGTCGAAGTAGCTTGAGGGTCCTTTGAGACTCACTTTGACATGCTGCTGGTGTGTGCATTGCTTGAGCTTGTGGCTGGTGGATCCTGGCACATTGCATTGCTTGAGTTTGATATCCCATCCGACCTGCTATGCTAAGCTCCTGAGCTGCTAACTGTTGCTTACTCACCCTGCTTTTTGCTGCCTGTGGGCAGACTCAGCCTGCCTTTCCTGAGGGAGGACTGCTTTCTTGACCTCGGACCCAGCTGCCCACGTGAGTCTAAGGACTTCCAGTATATTAACCATTCCACAAAAGTGAGTTGAACTGAGCCCTCTGTACTTCTTTGTGGACCAATTAACGGTTATATGCCTTCTTGCTGTATAAACCTATCCTC